CACTAATAAACAAAAAGACTATCGCATAAAAGACACCGGCATACGAACTGCCAAGCGAGACATTCGTCATTGCATTCTTATAACGCGATGAATAATGTCAGCAAAAATACGTGGGCGAATAAATAGGCACACGTATTTGTTGTTCCAGTTACGAGGAGATTTGAACAGAAGGGCACATGACATTTCTACGAGGTCAAGACATTTAGGTTTATCTAGGATGAGTACGGTTATAGCATAAATTGGAAATGACTAATGGCCGGTTCCTATTTTCATCGAACGGCCGTTAGTTACATAGCTTTGTAACTTTCATAACGACTTGTAGATAAAAGGCGTGTACTCCTGATTTCTTTATTAACAAAACCGGAGTAAGTTAGTTGCATTACCTACGGAAAGTGAGTTTCAAGCGTTCCTTTAATCTACAAGTCTTTATGAAAGTTACGAAGTTATGTAACTAACGGCCGGTTGCAGGATATAGGAACCGGGCATTAGTTTATTACAAGTAACGGATCATAAACATGTCTCAAAAACGGACTTTTCTTCCACTCACCGCGATAGATTTAATTAAGTTTCCGTTATAATTATCTTTATTAAATTTCTTCGGGTTTACGGATATGTTTTAAGTCTTCCGTGTGCTCGTAGGCAACAAGAAACTTCAGCGTAGTTGGTTAACTCTACATGTGGGTATAGTGTTATTAGGTGGGCTTCCCGGTGAGTCTGAAATATGTGTCTGTGTCTTCCTTTTATTCGATCCGGTCTCTGAATACTTCACGTGTAGGATGTAAGCAAATTGTCGATTTCGGCTTAGGTAGGTAATTTTCTACGCTTACTAAAAAAATTGGTACGACTTAAAGACTGCTTAAATCATTTTTATACGAAATTAAATATATCATGTATTGTAATCAATAACTAGATGACGTTCAACTATAAAATATATGAATAACTTGATTCACAGAGTACTTGGATAAGTTCAAGTTCAAGACAAGTTGGAGTTAATAATTGGTAACTAGAATCCTTTATTTATCAGCCATTGCTAACAGTAATATTTGTGTATAAGAGATTTGTTTATTATAGATTAGATAATAAGCTAATAGAATGATAAAATAAAATAACTAGATCTCTGGTAAGCCATGAGTTAATAAAAACGGGATTCAGGTGACCGAATTAAGGTGAAGTCCTTCAGGCACTTGAACATAAGGGACAAAACGAGTTCTTTGAAATATTAGACTGTGACAGGAATCAACTCAAGAGTTTGATGGCTGATAGCAATTGTAAGTACCTACTGAGAGGTCTCTTGTCGCCACTCCCCCAATAAAGATTGGACAAGTATTCGTACTGAACGAGATCTATGCTTACCGCCGGATCATAATGATAAGATATTTAAGTTCATTTATAAATTTTGATGCCTGATCTCACTTAAGTACTTGAGAAGTCGCTTGCGTCTACTACCCATATCCTATATTCATAAAGAACATTCATGATACGAGTATAAAATCTATACTATTATCACCAGATACTAAAGATAACATTTTTAAATTCATTTAGCAACTTTCTTAGTAAAAAAAAAATCATGTCTCTTGTATGGGAGACCCACTTAAACATTTTTATTCTGTTTTTAGTATTTGTTGTTATAGCGGCAACAGAAATACATCATCTGTGAAAATTTCAACTGTTTAACTATAATGGTTCATGAGGCCGGTGGCAGACGGACAGACATATAGACAGTGATCGATGTAATAGGGTCCCGTTTTACCCTATTACGTCGTTCACGTACGGAACCCTAAAAAGTAGCTGTGCTAAGCCTCTATATAATAGTATATATTTTATGTTCAAAAATTCAACACCTTGTAAACGGTTCGAATTTTCGTACATTTTTATAGTTGAGTGATTGTTTTGTTGATTCTCAACGAGAAATATCGATTACTTTGTAGACATCACTTGTCAAGTCGTAATTTGATTTATTCAATTTTGCTAGAGTGCAAAACCTTCATTTTCAATTTGAAATTGCTATTTCGTGTAACGAGTAAGGTCCAATCAGAGTCCCGAGTGGGGTCAAGGTATCATCCTGACATGGGACGAGCGAACACTAGTTGGATTGTTTTGAGATTTAAACTAATTTCTCTTTTTAACCGACTTCAAAAAAAAAAAGGTCGTTTCTCAATTCGACCATATGGATTTTTATTATTTTTTATGTGTGTTCGCGGATAAGTTCGTCGTTTATGAACCGATTTTGATGATTCTTTTTTGTCGGCGAGGAGATACCCCAAGGTTGGTACCATGATAAGGCAACCGGCATCTGATGATAGCATTCCAGAGAAATCGAGGGCACCCCAATGTTATAGGTATTAACAATGTTTTTATAGTTTCATGTTTGAAGTCGTTTTTTTTTTTGTTAAAAATTATATAAAGTATTGTTTATTGATAAACAAGCATACTTAAGTGAAGTGGGTTAGTTAAGCATCGTTTAAAATAAAAAAAATTGTTAAGTAAGAATTGCTTTGTTGCCTCTCATCAATATATACCTCTAAATAAATTGTACGTATGGATGCACGTTACTCTTTCACGCAAATACTACTGAATGGATAGTAACAAAACTTTACAATAATATAGCTTATACATCAAAATAACATATAGGCTATAATGTATAAAGATGTTGTGTGAATAGTCCAAAATATAGGTAATGATAAGTGTCAACTAAGTATAAAAAATATCAGCCATTGCATCTGCGAGATATTCTGGGGTATAATAAAAACTCGCTGTTAATTCACTTTGGCCGCGCAGATGAAGCCGCAGATAACAGCTAGTGTCATAAAAATAAATATAACGATGATATGTTGGGGCATAAACTTATCGACGTTCTAAAAACAGTCACAATCGCAACATCCATTTGAGGAATTGTCTGTAAAAGCTTAATCTGATCCGGGAGATGCCAGTCTCGCTATAGATACATAAACCAATGCACGGTGCTTTCAAATAGATTGGACGTTTTAGCCACGTTTCAAAGACCCATAACTTGCGTTGTAAAACTAAAGCGGTTAATCTTATTTTACTGCTAACAGGTTGTTAAAGGACGGACGTAAAGATATACTTCTAATCATTCCAGCATCGTCGTATGAGATAGTGAGATTTACGCTTAGAATTAAAGAATTGCGCGACTATCACCCAGTTTCCGAAAGCACAAAGAAAATCGAGTTTCTCGAACCGTTTTTCGGTGGTCAACGAGCTGTCAAAAGTTTTATTAAGTAATCTGTCAATTTGGACGATCAATCGTTGGTTAAAAATTTCTTTTATCAAAAATCTTAGCTTTTATTAAAAATAAACATAATTCCTTAATACGTTGTAAAGACATTCATGTGTTCCATTACCTATTTAAATACATTACATAATTTTAAAGGTAAAAATGTCATCAAATCTATCTGAGGACGAAATTTCTTTATCGAGCGACGAAGAAGACGAACAGCCACCAGTATCAAGCAGAGTTTTCATGCAAAGGTTTAATCCCATGGAACATTACAATGATGACCAATTTAAGGCCAGGTACAGACTTTCGAAAAATGTTTTTCAAGAGCTAATGCAATCTCTGTCTCACCTTGAACCTCTCACCCAGAGGAACCACTCAATAAGTGCAGTCGAACAGGTATTATGGGCGATACACTTCTATGCATCTGGAGGCTTTCAAATATCTGTGGCTGATCATATCAGAGTTCATAAGTCTACTGCCTGCCGGATAATCCAAAATGTTTCTCATCAAATAGCCAAGTTGAGGCCACAATATGTTAAAATGCCTTTGACAGTTCAAGAGCAGGTGAAAATCCGCAATGACTTTTATAATATTGCTATGTTCCCAAATGTTATTGGTGCTGTGGATTGCACACATGTTAAGATCCAATCACCAGGAGGCCCTTCTGCAGAACTTTATCGCAACAGGAAAGGATATTTTTCTTTAAATGTGCAAGTAGTCTGTGACTCAAATTTGAAAATTTTGGACATAGTTTGTAGGTGGCCTGGCTCCGTACACGATTCCACAATCTTTAATGACTCCCATCTCCTAGCTGAATTTGAAATGGGAGTTTATAATAATTATGTCCTACTCGGAGATAGTGGCTATGCATGTAGGAGGTATTTACTGACTCCATTCCTCCAGCCTTCCAACAACAGTGAAGAGGCCTACAACAGAGCTCAAATAGCCACAAGAAATCCTGTGGAAAGATGTTTCGGAGTCTGGAAAAGACGATTTCCTTGTTTGGCAATGGGTTGAGGGTAAATTTGGATACAACCATGAATATCATTGTAGCTTGTGCTGTGCTGCATAATATTGCTTGTAGTCACAATGATATCATTGATGGTCTATCAGAAGTAGTTTTACCAGCAGAGCCAGAACTAGGAAATCCACCTATTTTTCAGTCTCAACAAGGATTTAATGTAAATTTTTCAGTACGAGCTGCTTTACTCCAAACCCATTTTCGCCAGTAATTAATTTATTACCAAATAATTTATAGATTAAAATAGGTTAAATGTTTTTTTTTAGTTAAAGGTATCTGTAAATAAATAAACAAAGTTTTCCAATTTTTGTTATTTGTTTTATTTATAGCTAGAATATGAAAACACAAACTAAAATTTAACTAAATAAAAATTAAACCAAGTTAAATTTGACAAAACAAATAGTTGTTAAATTTTAAATACAATATAAACATACAGGCAAATCATGTACAGACCACTTCCTTGTTGACTACAGAACTAAAACATTTATATAGTTCTATAATATATAAAGTTGCTCAAGTCTGAAAGAACAAGCAAACAAAAAAAAGACATACAAAATTAAAATTATATTGTTTTTATTTACTAAATATGATAGATATTTTCATATTGTCTATGCTTAATTGAGTATTCAATTTTTTTTATTTTAATATCTAAATCAATTACCTCTGCTTTTTTTTTTGCTATTCTATAATTTATAATGTTAGCACTTTTTTCTATCATAGCACTTTCATATTTTTTTTTCATAAAATTTTTTTTTCAACATGGAGGTTAATCTCGATTGTTTGTTCTTTATGGGGGCTTTTATTGATTTTTTTTTTAATTATTTTTTTGGCACTTAATTCTGCTACAAACGCGCATGATTCATTTTCACCTGAAACAAATATATACTGTTTTATAAATAATGTCACTAACTGTAAAATTAATTAGATGTTAAGGTAATAAAGTAAATATGGTAAGGTTTTTCTATAATCAGTAAGAATTGTAAAAGAAAAATTAACAGTAAACATATAACTTACTATCATGAATGGGGATTGTAACATCAATTGCATCTTGTTCTGGTTGTGGGCCTGCTATTTCAGCTTCATCTGCAATCAAAACAAGAGATATTATGTACATAGTAAATATTTTTATTACCTAATAATAAATTAATGAATATAATGATATACTTTGTTCATAATATTCTGCAGCACTGTCACATGCATTAGACAGAGGAATTATTTGATCTCCTATTAAAGCAAGCATTTGTGCCCCAACTTCAGTCAGTATTGGGGTATATTTACCTCCACCAGTTGCTTTAATTTGTTTCTGAAAATTATTAATAGGTATACATAAGATCATTCATATTTTCACAAATCAAAACCTGCAATGGAAAATTAATCTAGTAAATTGAATAAAAGTCTTAAATAATAGATAGAAAACTATTATACCAACCTTATCTTCTGCATCAATTTTTTTATATTTTTTATTATCAATATACATCTGGACCTAAAACGATAATTTTAAAATTAGTACTAATATATAAGTTATATGTGCTGACCTTAAGGGAATAAGCAATACATCTTTAGTATATTCCCATGGTAAGCAAAGTATTGGCGGTATCTCAACTACAGACAGCAGCAACTTAAGAAACGAAATCTGTACAGTACATAAAAAATTGTAAATACCTGGTCATAGATTAAATTGTAGTGTTATATTGCTACTTGCTTTATATGTAGGTTTATTGTGATAAGAGTTATTTGATAGGTCAATGGTCTATTGATTTTGACCATCTTATAATATTCTCTATTTTATTAGGAAAAATGTGTTACGTACATTTTCATCAGCAACATTTTTTCGAGATAGCCGTTTTAAGTTTAGATATGCAGTTTTTAACTGCTTTTCAGAGCGAGGGTGTTCTGCAGATGCATTATATTCCCGCATTATTTCATTCCAAGCCTTATTTTTTAAGTCCATGCTCTGAGCGTTAGTGCGCTTATTTCCTATTACATGCTTGTGACTAAAAATTATGTTTTGCGAACACATCATGCGATTAGAAACAATACAAAATGCAATTCAAAAGTTAATAAATGATATGGATCCTTTCTTTTTATAATACTTACTTGTTTATTATGTATAAGAGTTTATTTTGTTCACGTTCCGTAAAGTTTTTCCTAGACATTTTGCAAGTATTTATAAAAATTAAATTTTATTAGAACTCGGACTTTTACGTCGGCACTCACACAATGACAGGACTGGACAGTGAGTGACGTGTATTTAAGTTTTGTTTAAAAAGGGACAGCTATACAATAGAAAGAGTTAGTTGAAGTAAATCATTCATTTCATTCATTATCATTGGTTATACAGTGATTAGCTAATTTTTCTTGAACAAACCCAAGTTTTCTTCCAGAAACCCAAGGCAGTTTAACAAGAGATTAACAGCTGATCATTTTTGACATAGTGTTATGTGATTGCTGCTTTGATTGGCCTTTCGGAAACTGGGCATATATCTTATCATACAAAGAAATATAAATCGGTATTGTTATAGCTAATGGTATATTAGTTTTGAAAATGCATCAAAGTTTAAATTGTCGTAAGATTAGGGGAAAATAACGTTTATTTTAATTCCTTTTGAAATCGTTTTGAACGATACGGATAACAAAAAGCTGCCTATACAGTCATTTGTAATAATTACAATGAACTCACTGAAACAACGGTGGTAGGGCCACGTAGCAGCCTCGGCTGTTGCACGAATGGGCAGGCTCGTCCGGGTAAGTACCACGAACTCACAGAAGACCGGTGTAAAGTGGAAGTATAATTACTTTCTACGAAACGAGAAGGAACTACTGGTGAAGGTGGCCGAAGCCCAATTTTCAAAAGTTGGTCAATGCAGGGTGTAGATGTCCATGGGCGGCGGTATTCACTTAACATCAGTTGAACCGTCTGCTCACTTGGCACCTTTTCACATAAAAAATATGCTTTTACTGAGTTAATGCGTTTACCATCTACGGCTGCATCGCTACTTACCACCAGGTGGTATAGCCGGGAAACACTAGGCAGTAACATAAAAAAAAAACATTGAATAGCATTACAATGCTTATCTACTTTAAGATGAACAAAAATAATTAAATTTAATTTCTTGCACCACTACATATTCTACCGCTACTAAAGACAATATTGCGCTGCAATTATGAGGTCGTTTAAATATGCACAGTACTCGAACACTTGCCGTCCGGAAGCGACGAACGAACAAATACGCAATTTCATATCAAGCACGTACAAATAATTCGAGTAGGAAATATTTTGTATTTAAATGAATAAATTCGTAAGAGGGTAGAAGGATTTTGGAGCAACAATAAGACCTCAATATTTATTTGCGTTCACTGAGTCTATCTAATTTTACTATCTACTATAATTTAAAAAATTTAAAGTGCTAATCTCAGCACTCATGATTCGCCCAGATGCTTTAACAACTAAGTTAAATAGCTGACTATCACATGGACGAATACCTAATAAAATATAGCATCTTTTATTATTTCTTTTACATCATACAAACAATTTCATAGCGTCCGGGGGCGAATCCGGAAGACGTAAGTTCTACTTCCGCAACGGCCATTTTATCTGCAAATTTTTAATCTACATTACTATTTACATTACCCATTATTCGAGTACTACCCACAGTTACAAAGGTATTGTGAAACCACATAAATATAAAATTACTATGTTAATAATATCGGTCGTAATAATATATGGTTACTGTCGGTCGTAAGCCGATGTGTATTTGATCGATCTTCAGGATATACTACAGTTCTTCGGATCTATAGGATATGATTGAAATTTACATGGCTTATGTTAAGAACCATGAAAGCTCAGTCTCCGGGCGCTCACCTTTAATTCAATATACTCAAGCAATTTGAGTTCGATCACCGGTGCCGGCGCCAATAACATTGTTAATTTTCAGTGCCAAATTATATCGTGCTCAGCGGTGAAGGAAAACTTCGTGAGGAAACCTCCATATTTCCACAGAAATAATACAAAAATATTTCGAAGATAATTATGTGAATTCCGCCAATCCGCAGTGGGGCCGCCTGGTGGACTTTGTATGCCCTGATACTCTCTGTATATAGGAGGCCTTTGCCCAGCTGTGGGACTTGAATAGGCTGTTACTTTTTACATTTCCTTTTTTTTAATGTTCATTTTAATAACGAGTATGTATGTCACAATTAAGACGGATTGTGGACAATAAGAACGGATAGACAAGAGGAAATAAAGTCATGAACTTCTTTTAGTATTCTTGGTGGTTTACAGCGAGCACCCTGTCGATATTTAACTGTGATCAGCAAAGACGGTTTCTAATAAGATTTAAAATATTTTTATGTAATAGTATTGATACTTAAAATTAAAAGTTTAGAAAATTAAATCGTTTAAATATTGTGGTAGGGCCACGCAACAGTTTTCTCTATTGCACGAATGGGCAGGTCCGTCCGGGTACCACGACCTCACAGAAGACCGGCGTAAAGTAGAAGTGTTACACTTCTGCGTTTCGTCTGGCGAGTGAGGTAGCCGGACCCCACTTTATTTAAAGGTAACGCATTTGCATCCCGACGGATGTTGCAAATGTCCATGGGCGGCGGTTATTACTTAACATCAGGTGAACCGTCAGCTCGTTTGTCAATTTTTCACATTAAAAAAAAGAAATTGTAATTTTTTCGAAAACAGCTTAAGAGTCGCGGGCAGTAAGTGAAAGCAAATGGTACAATTTCGTTTGATATAACGTTCTAAGGGGAGGCCTTTGTTTAACAGTGAATGTGTTCTTACTAATTATGATGACAAAACAAGTGATATTAACATGTGGACTTTTTCCCAATCCAAAATTGCCCAATGTGCCTATAGAAATTCAATACTAAGATTTCGAATAAAAGGACTGAGAACAGTATACTAAAATGTAACTTAAACTTAGAAAAAACATCTTTTTTAACATTTAGATATATACGTCAGATAGTGCAGTGCTTTTCAGATTAACTTTATGTCAAAATGCAAACTGTCATAAGTGCTAAAATGCTCAGGTCAATCTGAAAAATTTGACAAGATCAAATATTGCGAAGCTTTTTGAGCACCTTGGAATTGCTTCCATTATACAGCGTGTCTTTACAATCGCGACAATAAATGAACGCACATATTGAGGATAACTTTTTAAAATTGTATTAAACATTTACTTTATTTAAAAATCAATATTTACAGAGTTATTAAATTTTCCAAAACAAAGTATTTAAGAACACCCTTACGTATAAAATTGTAACGTAAAGTTCATTTATAAAGGTCATAAAGCATATGAATGGGTTGAATGAATTTAAAAGAGACAAAACATACTGTTAGAAGGAGCGGCTTGTAATGCGACGCAACGAATGAAAAAGTCTCTGAATGGAAGAATCAGTCAGTTGTAGTTGCATAGGATGTTACAAATTTTGTTTCTTTTTTACTTAATTAGTTTGTTTGAAAAATATTTTCTTGTAATTATGTTTTTTTTTTTAACGTTAATATTGTTTTATGATTATTGGCCATTAGCGTTGGACGTGTGTTCATTTATTGTCGCGATGGTAACGACACGCTGTATATTCCTTTTTAGACAGTAACTTCTGATACTTTTAATTAAATTAATGTAAATATAGGAATTCATTATGTATCATACAAAATGACAATGCCAGAAAATGTATGGAGCTTTGCCCCACTTATTAAAATTCGTTTACAAGCATGTTTAATGCAGCATTTTATTGCTGTTTTATAACTGATCACTAAACATTTAAACATACGTCCCTAAAACTTGCGGTTTCGTTTTAAATCTGAGTTGAGTTTTTTGAGGTTATATACTTTTATAATGGTAAAACTGATAAAAATAAATGCTATATTGTTAAAAGTTATTGCCAAAAGCATGGCTATGAAATGAAGTAGGATACTCAAAGCAGAATGAACTACGTAACCACGATACGTGCAGGCTGTTTTGTATGGAGAGTATATGAAATGAGCGACCGCGCTGCACGACACATTAACCATATTAACACGCATAGATCACTTACACTCATAGTCGATGAAGCGACACAGTGTTGCGTATCTCGATGACGTAGCTTAAGATCTATCTTAATTCTAAACTGTATTACTGAACTTTGTTCTATCGCCATTTAACGATATGGTAGACTGTTAGGACTGATTGGAAATAAAACAACCCCTTTGTAATTAATGATCTATTCAACTCCATAAGTAATTAATAC